TAGTGCTCACCAGGGCCTGCACACAGGGACTGTGGCGGACGAGGGGGGGAGGGAGGGCGACGGAAAGTACTCAATCTACGTCGGGGGTCGGCGTTGAGACGTTGGTGGTCGTCGTCCGTACCTTCATTGACCTTAGCTGTCGTCCAAGGCCGGCAATCTTGTTCACGCTGCAACGACTGTCGTTTTCTCGTCCGCCGGACTAGTGACGACTGCGCCTTCGTCGGAACCAGGTTGAGCGGTGACTGAGTGGGCATCCGCCATGGACTCGCTCATGTCTGGATTCATGTTTAGCCTGGGTTAGCGTCTGCTCATTTGTTTACTGAGCTGCGCTCGAAGGGCTTGGTAGGCAGCGGGAAGAGCCACACAACGGTGTGAGGCGCGATACCACACTCACCTCCGACGATGGAAGATTGTATGCTGTTGAAACGTCAGGACAGTAAGACTGTGATCCCCGAGATCGCCTTTTCTTCTCATATATATATATATCACTCAGGAATGGGCGCACACCGATATATATATATATATATATATATATATATATATATGGAAGAAGGTAAAGAGATCTCTGGGGAGGATGATTTATTCATCTGACGTTTCACACTCATACTTGAGCGCATAATCGGAGATAGATTAAAAGTGGGAATACAAGGTTTAAATAGGTCTTTCTTACTCATTACTGATAGGTCCATTGTTCTCTCTTCCTATTGGCCCTCCTTTCCTGTCCAAGTGGTGTCTGACGGCCTCGTATGGCGCCGGTAGGTCGATCCTACAGTAATGAGTAAGAAAGACCTATTTAAACCTTGTATTCCCACTTTTAATCTATCTCCGATGATGCGCTCAAGTATGAGTGTGAAACGTCAGATGAATAAATCATCCTCCCCAGAGATCTCTTTACCTTCTTCCATCTCAATACCTGGGGTCGGCATTTTCGCCTATATCCATATATATATATATATATATATGGATATAAGGCGATCGCAGGAACCATAGATATATTTGCCTGACGTTTCGAAAGCAAACAAGCTTCTATCATCGGAGGTGGTTTGCGTACTGCACGTCACAGTATTTAAGGGTTTTATTTCGTGCTGGCGTGGCACTGACTTCCAGCGCGCTGCATCACAAGGCCTGACGATTGTTGTCATGGCGGCATCGGTTTCTCCTCCTCCTTTGTCGGGTGTGGGGAGGGGGGTGGCGTCAGGGTGACCGCGGCCATTGCTCTTGTTTGCATTGTCCGTTGTCCGCCCTCCACGTATCTCGTATATATATATATATATATATATATATATATATATATATGGATATAGGCAAAAATGCTGACCCCAGGTGTTAATATGGAAGAGGAGGATGAGGCGATCTCTGGGGAAGAGGGTTTATTCATCTGACGTTTCGTGTTCATGCTTGAGCACATCATCGGAGATAGGCTTAGTGAGAAATACAGGGTTTAAATAAGCCATCTGCACTCTCACCCGATAGGTTCGTCCCGTTCGCTTCTCGTTGGTCCCCCTCTCGCGCGTAGATGGTGCCTGACGGCCTCGTATGGCGTTGGCAAATCGATACTTCGGTTGATAGAGTTCGTGTCTGATTTCCAGGCCTCGATCACTTCCCTCGCCAGTTTGCTTTCGGCTCGGCCGAGCACCTGGGCGCCGTCAAAGTCGAACTTGTGATTGTTTTCCAGACAGTGCATGGCGACATGCGATAGTACGTCCTTTCGCCTTACGGCCAAAGTGTGCTCATGCATGCGCGATGGTAAGGCGAGCTCTGCGGATGATGATTTATTCATCTGACGTTTCACACTCATACTCGAGCGCATCATCGGAGATAGGAAATATGAGAATTGCGCGGCTTAAATTGGTCCCTCTCGCTCGCGCCTGATAGGGCCATCAATTTATATTGTCATTGGGCCTCCCCTGGTGCGTATGTGGTGTTTGGTTGCCTCGTATGGTGCCGCTAGGTCGACGCTGCGGTTGATGGAGTTGGCGTCTGTTTGCCAGGCCTCGATTATTTCTCGCGCCAGTCTGTTTTCCGCTCGGCCGAGCACTTGGGCGCCGTCAAAGTCAAACCGATGGTCATTTTCCAGACTGCGCATGGCGACGTGTGAGCGTGCATCTTTCCGCTTGACGGCTAAGGTGTGCTCATGCATGCGCGTTTTAAGTCGTTTGTTTATCATGCCACAATAGTTGGCCTGACAGTCTAGGCAGTTGACGCGGTAAATGACACCTGACATGTCCTCAGGGAGCAGCCTACCCTTTGGCTGCATGACTAATCGGCGAATGGTGGCTTCCGGTCGGTGTCCAACGCCCACGTTAAGTGGTCTTAGCATACGCTCAGTGGCCTCAGAGACGTTCGTCATGTAGGGCAAAACACGGAGTACCTCAGGTTTTTGGTTCGCCTCACCGTCAGTCTTTGTGTGTCTTTGGAACAGACATTTGTTTACGAAGCTACGTGGATATCCATTGACAAGGAAGAAGTGCCACAGGGACGCCAGCTCTTGTAGCTTCTCGGCCTCTGCTGCAGTGTGTGTTGATGCGGCGGAAAAGTGTCCGGACGCAACTGCTCCTATGCGACAGGGGATGGTTGCTGTTGTAGTGGAGTATTTTCTCTGTGTTTTCGGAGAACACCAGTCCGAAGGGTTTCATCTTCCTGCCTCGTTACGCGCACGTCGAGGAAAAAGAGCGTTCAGTCATTTTCTTCCTCCATTGTGAATTGGATTTGGTGGCCCTATCAGGCGCGAGCGAGAGGGACCTATTTAAACCATGTAATTCTCATATTTCCTATCTCCGATGATGCGCTCGAACATGAGTGTGAAACGTCAGATGAATAAATCATCATCCCCAGAGCTCGCCTTACCATCTTCTTCAATTTTAACACCCGGAGTCAGCATTTTCGCTTACATCCATATATATATATATGTTGAAAAGAGGTAGGTTCTTTGGGACAAGAGGGTTTATTGCGTAAATTTTCGACGCTGGTTCCCCAGGTCGTCGTCAGACGCAAGCGGAAAGCAAATGTGAAAGCAAGAAACAGCTAACGTCAAGAGTGCACAAAAAATCGGTACTTGCATGGCGTGTGCGCCAGTTGGCGGCCGTCGTGCGTCAGTCTGAGCTGGTTGGTTCCCTTCTCTTCCATTTCTCCTTCAGGTTTCTGTGCACGGCATCCAACTCGATATGCCGGTTGATGCATGAGTCATCAGAGTGCATCGCCTCGAGGAATTCTCGGCCTTTCTTGAAAGGGCAGACAGCGACACTGCGAGCTTTGTCCCAAGCAAAAGTGTGCCCGGTGTCCAGAGTATGCATGGCTACCTGAGACAGATGGTCTCGCCTCTTTACCGCCAACTGGTACTTATGGATGCGTGTTGAGGCGGATTTTCCAGTCTGGCCACAATAGACGGCAGTACATGCATTACACGGTATCTTGTAGACGACCTCTTTCTTGTCCAGCTGATTAACCCTATCCTTAGGATGTACCAGCTGAGTGCGCAAAGTAGTCGTAGGTTTGTGCGCCACTCGAATTTGGTGCTTCCTTAAGTGCCTTTCGACGAGTTCAGACACATTCTTAATGTAAGGAAGGGTTCGCCAAGTGCTTAATTCAGGCGTCTGATTGGAACTACCCGGCTCCTTCTCCCTTGATTCTCGCTGCCTCATGCATCTGCGTACAAAGTCCTTAGGGTATCCATTCTGCGAAAATAATTCGCACAAGTAATTCACTTCGGCTCGATAGCCTTCTTCATCCGAACAATGTGTTTTTGCTCGACCAAGCAGACTGTTTACGACACTCCGTTTGTGAGAAATGGGCTGGTTGCTCTTATAAGGAAGAATGACTTCAGCGTAAGTTTCTTTCCGGTAAACGGATGTGCGTAACGTTCCGTCGACCTTACGCTGCACGAGAACATCCAGAAATGGGAGTTTGCAGTCCACTTCCTTTTCAAGTGTGAATTGAATCCCAGCAATTGTTGAGTTGATAGTATTGTGGAGCACTTCTAGTTGGTTCTTTTTTACGATAACAAATGTGTCATCCACATATCGCAGCCACAATTTAGGAGTACACAACGGGAGCGCCGTTGCCTCTAGTTTCTGCATTGTTACTTCAGCGAGAAAACCAGAAATGGGTGACCCCATAGGGGCTCCTTTCAGTTGCTTGTAGCATTGCTGGTCGAATGAAAAGTTAGTTTCCAAGCATATATATATACATATATGGTGCCTATATATATGTATATATATATATATATATATATATTGCTGATAGAAGCGAAGATGCGCGTCCCCGGACATAAATGAGAAGAAGAAGAGATGATTTCGGGAACCATAATTGGATTGCCCTGACGTTTCGAAAGCAAACAAGCTTTCATCGTCGGAGGTGAGTGTTGTACCACGCCTAACAGCATTTATAGGTGGTAATGGTCTCCTTTCAACGGGTTTACATCTCGTCGAGGGCCGGCGTTCGAGAGCTAGCCGTCATCGCACGTGTTCGCATGGACCTTAGTTCGCGTCCTAGGCTGGCAATCTTCTTTACGATCCCGTGACGGCCTGTGTTCTCACCTGCTGAATAAGTGGCAGTGACGCTGGCACCTTCGGCGGGTCCGTTTATGTTGCTGCAATCGTCCGTTTTCGCACCTTCCGGATAAGTGGGTGTCGCGACTGTGGTGACGATCGCACCTTCGCCGGATCCAAGTTGAAGTGCAGCTGCGTTTGTGTCCCCCATGGACCCGGCCGTAATTGAGTTCCATTCTCCTCGTAACCCGCGTTTGCTCCTCTGTTCTCTGAACTGCGTCCGGAGGGTCTGGTAGGCTTCGGGAAGCGTTACACAGCGGTTGATGGAGTTCGTGCCGGTGTGCCAGGCCTCAATTGTTTCCCTGGTCACGCGATCGTTTCCACGGCCCAGGATTTCGGCACTCTGTAAGGCGAATGTGTGTCCAGAGTTTGCGCAGTGTTCTGTCGCCAGGGACAACTGGTCCATCCTCCTTACGGCCCTAATGTGTTCTCCAACACGGGTCTGGAGTCGTTTACGGGTCTCTCCAATGTAGTTCATTTGGCAGGAACTGCATTAGATCCGATAAATCACGTTTGTTATTTCACCGGGTGGCAGGGGGGTCTTAGGTCTCATGACCAGATGCCGAATTGTTGACTCTGGCCGATGGACAATACCAATCCCCAGTGGCCTTAGGAGACGGGAGACCGATTCAGAGACGCAGTCAATGTAGGGAAGTGCTCGCCAGACTTTTGGCCGTTCTGTCACTGGGCTTCGGCTTGTCACAGGCAGCCTGTTGCGTTGTATAAAATTTCGAGGATACCCGTTCGCCATGAAGAGGCGCTGAAGGTAGCGTAGTTCCGACCTTTTGTCGTCTGGTTCGCTGCAGTGTTTATCTGCCCTTTTGTATAGTGTGCGTACACAGCTGCGTCTGTGGGACAACGGGTGCCTGCAGTGGTAGCTCGGGATTTGGCGCGTATTGGCGGCCTTCCTATACCGTTATTTTCAGGTGTCCATTTGGTTTTCGGTAAACCAGTGCGTCTAGGAACGGTAGGTCGTCGTTGCTTTCGGCCTCCATTGTGAACTGGAATTCAGGCACGCCTACATACGGACTGGCTAAATGGTTTGCCGAACCTTTGAAGAAGCTGACGGACGGCTCAGAACACACAGCCGTATCGTCAACACACTTCCTGGAAGGACTTAAATGCGTCATAATAGCTCCCGACGAAATAATGGTATCTTTTGACGTCGTCTCTCTATTCACCTCCATCCCTAAAGAATTGGCCATGAGAGTTGTCGATGACCTATTTAAGAGAAGGTACGACGAAGAAGGAAAATCTTTTCAGAGGAGGCAGGCGATGGAACTACTGGACTACTGTTTGCTCACGCACTTCACGTTTAACGGTCAAATTTGCGAGCGAAACCAGGGAGCCCCAGTGGGATCCCCAATTTCCGACTACCTGGCTAGGGCGGTCTTGCAGGAACTGGAAACTCGAGTCGTTCAGGCCTACAAGCCGAAGTTCTAGATGCGCTGCGTAGACGGCACCTTTGTCATCCTACACCGAGACGCGAAAGACAACCAAAATGGGGAATTGGACTCGGTGTTTCCACAAATCCAATTTACCATGGAGGAAGAAAATAACGGAGGGCTCCCTTTCCTCGACGTCCAGGTCTCGAGGCAGGAAGACGGAACCCTCCAGACTGGTGTCTTTCGAAAGGCGACAGACACGGAGAAAAGTCTTCACTACAACAGCAACCGTCCCCTGTCGCATAGGCGCAGTTGTGTCCGGACACTTTCGCTGCATCCACACACTGCAGCACAGAAGCCGAGAAGCTGTGGAAGCGTAAAACCGTATCGCACCTCTTCCTTGACAATGGATATCCACGCAGTTTTGTAAACACATGCTTGTACCGAAGACACACGAAGACAGACGGTAAGATGAAACAAAGACCGGAAATCTTCCATGTTTTAGCCTACGTGAGTAACGTCTCCAAAGCCACTATGCGCATGCTAAGACCGCTAAGAGTGGGCGTTGGACACCGGCCGGAGGCCACCATCCGCCGCTTATGTTAGGGGGGCACTCACCGATCGTTCATACGGAACTCACTCGTTCCGTTGTGCCTTAAGGGCTCTCTCTCGAGCCCAATCAGCAGCCGCACAGCGGCGCATGATATTTAGGCAGAATGATATATATATATATGCCGAAGTCGAATGTGTGCTTTGGGAAAGGAAGTTTATTGTGCAAATTTTCGACGCCGGTTCCCCGAGTCGTCGTCAGGCACAGACGGAAAGCAAATGCGCCAACACAGCCAACATCTGAAGTGCACGTAAAAAAATCTCTAATCGCCTGACGCTCACGCCAGTAAGCGGCCGTCGTGTTTGTCAGTCCGTTCTGATTGGTCCCCGCCTCTTCCATCTCTCCTTGAGATTTCTGTACGCGGCGTCCAACTCGATGTGCCTGTTGATGCATGATTCGTCTGAGTGCATGGCCTCAAGGAACTCTCGGCCTTTCTTTGAGGGGCCCACAGCGACAATGCGAGTTTTTTGCCAAGTGAAAGTGTGTCTGGTGTCCAGGGTGTGCATGGCCACTTGAGATGGATGGTCTCGCCTCTTCACTGCCAACTGGTGTTCGTGCACTTAAGATGTTAGCTGTGTTGGCGCATTTGCTTTCCGTCTGCGCCTGACGACGACTCGGGGAACCGGCGTCGAAAATTTGCACAATAAACTTCCTTTCCCAAAGCACACATTCGACTTCGACTTATATTTCTTGGGATGCCTACCTTCCAACATCGTCGATCGGCGATCGCTGGGACCAGTGGTTTATTTGTCCGACGTTTCGAACTCTCACGCGAGCCCATCGTCAAGGAATGAAAATACTGTACAACTCATCGCATATTTAGCTCATCTCTGCCGGGAATGACCTCCAGCTGCGCTGCTGATTTGTTCACGCAGTGCTTGATAAGCGATTGGCAGATCGATATGTCGATTGATCGTGTCCTCAGTTGAGTGCCACGCTTCCTGCAGCAGGCGAGCAACTCGGTTGTCTGACTGCCCCAGTATTCTCACGCTCTCGAAGTCAAAGGCGTGCCCTGGCGAGGAGGCGTGGGCGGCTACCAAGGAGAGTTTGTCGTTCCGTCTCACGGCCAATTCATGCTCGTGCATTCTCGTGCGGACCTGTTTGCCGGTTTCACCAACTCATGCAGCCCAAGGACCCAATTCCCATAGGTCAGAAATCGGGAGTCATTTACCGGATAGACTGCAATTGCGGTCAGGCCAGTTATGTTGGTGAAACCGGCAAACAGGTCCGCACGAGAATGCACGAGCATGAATTGGCCGTGAGACGGAACGACAAACTCTCCTTGGTAGCCGCCCACGCCTCCTCGCCAGGGCACGCCTTTGACTTCGAGAGCGTGAGAATACTGGGGCAGTCAGACAACCGAGTTGCTCGCCTGCTGCAGGAAGCGTGGCACTCAACTGAGGACACGATCAATCGACATATCGATCTGCCAATCGCTTATCAAGCACTGCGTGAACAAATCAGCAGCGCAGCTGGAGGTCATTCCCGGCAGAGATGAGCT